AGTAAATTTCTGGGGTTTCACTCTGTCTTCTCCACTGGTTTAAAGAGTAATGGTTCAAGGTTACAGTTTCATTCATTGTTCCATGGTGATTCTATGTAACTTCTAAGTACTTGTCTTATACATTTAAAATCCATCTGTATCTTCAAAGCCTCAGATCAACTTGTTTTTAAACTGTCAAAACTTCAGGCCCAATGCATTAATTTATAAAATCATAAAGTTTTATACATATTGTCCATAACAAGTGAGGAAGTTTTGTTTTTTCTTTCTTGCTTCAAGTTGTGATTGGAAATGTGCAATGTGGGAGGGATAAAGATCTAAAGTAGATAACTTTATTTTCTCTAACAACAACACTTGAACAGTGCAGCTTCAGAAACAGAAGACAAGTACAGAGAATTTTAGCGCAAAAATGACAGGTTATAATAACCTGGAAATATAACAGCATTTGGAATAGACTAGTATGTGTGCAAGTGTTTGGTAGTACAGCGACTGTCAGATACATGGTCTGAGGCAAACTTAGGTGTGTAAACCCTCTGCTTGCTTTTCTATAATAAAAGTTTGCAAATTAATGCAGCCAGATTATTGTGAGGTGTTGGGATGTTGCAGAAGCACAGCTAAGACCTTGGAGATCTGTGCTGACTATGGTTTCAATTTACAGAAGCTTTCCCAAAATATCTTTACAAAACAATATAGTGGTTCCACTTCTATGGAAGTAATTACAGGAAATTCTGTGAACAAGAACTGGGAGAAATAGAACTTTGGCAAGCACAATCATATAACAAAGTAATTCATAGACTCTTGCAGCGAATTATATTGCCTAGGTTTCCCTTAACTGCTAAGTCAAAATACATCTTTAAGAGATATCTATTATTTGTGTGTTCTTGTTTCAGGGATATGTTATTTTGTGGTAACCAATCGATTCTTTTGGATTTCTCATTTTTCCTGGACATACGTCATACTGAAAAGTAACGGTAGAAAGAATTTCATAATTTCTGGGTTTGTATTAATTTCTGGTTTTGTACTTTGTTAAGTTAAATTAATAACATCAGATTAGTTTATAATGGTTTATATAGTTCCCTGCAAGTGTTGAATATTTTAACTGAGCACGATTTTGCATAGGTATTAGAAAGCAATTTTTAATTTATGTAATGATGACTGTTGTTCTTAAGGCTTGTAGATTTCAATTTTATGAAATGGCAAAGAAACAGAAATGAGTGACTTTTCTGAAAACAGAAATATGAGCAGTTCCAAATCATTCTTCCTCACAACTGACAAGTTGGGGTTTTTTTCCAGTATTTCTAGTTATTATTCTAATTATATTAAGAAATGGGAGTAGGAGGGATGACTTGTGAGAGAAAAAAAAAGCTGAATTGTTTCTTTTTTTAGTGGACTAAGTGGTAACCTCGTATATCAATAGGTAAATAAAGTCCTATTTGAAGTTGTTCATGAAAATACCTACATATATTGCAGTTCATTAAAGGAAACAAACAATACATCAAATCTCTCCCATGTTTCTCTCAAAATAAAAATCAAATTACCAGACGTTAACAAAAATTATATAGTTGACAAAATAACTTATATAGGCTTCCATCTCTACTCTGATGCTCTGTTCTTTGCTTCTACTAGTTCTCTGTTTTTAGCTGGAGTTTTCAACTTTAAAAACAAGGTAGTAATCCATAATAGAGTGACCCAGTTGGCTGTTCGCCACAATGTCAACATTTTCATTTTGCCATTGCTCACAGCTTTCAGCAACTGTTAATCCAAAAGAAACACTTTCTTGTTCTTTTTTATATTGCAGGAATTTTTGAATGTTAGATAACTGCTAAAAATTTACAGAATACATTTGCTGTTTTTGCAAATGGTGGAACAAACTGAAGCAATTGCAAGAGAGAGGTTACAAACGACCATTTCAAACAAAGACAGAACAGGACTGATAAGCATACTTCCTCAACCAGAAGATACTCTGTCTGTGTACTCCACATGCTCTCAACATAGTCAAATCTGGTTGCTTAGAAAGTTGTGAATTTCAGCCAAATATCTATAACTGATAATTTGTGAGTGTTGGAACGTTGTTCTTAGAAGATCACAGAAAATGAAACGTGTATTTCACAATGAATATTTAAAGTAAAGTAAAAATGCTGGTTTATTCAAATAAAAAGTAACAATCTCCATACTTGTTTGGGTGAATCTTGGGTCTTAAATTACATTCACTGAAAATACCAGTAGGGACATATGGAAGAAGATAGATTTAAAATACATAGAGGGTAGAAATATGCATTTAATACATCTGGAAATTATTCTTTAAAAAGGGCATATCATAATTGTTATGTCTAAACCAATACACTTTAATTATTTGATCTCTGGAGCTCTGCTGACTTCTGAACAACAATGTAATTTTAGCTAGACAGTATTTAGACTGTCCCCTCTCTTTTAAGAAATTATAACAATTTACTGTTTGAAATTGTGTCTTCTGGATTGGATGAAATTTAATTCTTTACACAAAAGACCTGCTTGCAGATTTTTCTTCAATTCATGCTTGTCCAAATAATTTAAATACTGAAGCCCAGTAGTAACTTTTTAAATCTGATCTGCCAGTAATTATAATAATTTATCTTTGGATGTAAAAGCTTCTAACTACACATCACATATAAACTCTGATGAATCACTCTTTCAAAACACAAAAAAGGAGAAACGGCTTGCCAGGCTGTTATCTTAGGTTTACACTTCTATTTATTACTGGTAGACTGCAGAAAACTTAGAACTTAGATAGTACCATTAAATTTGATTCCTAATGGGCATCAAATTCATCTATCAAGAATGACATATAATGTCATTGAAAACCATGAAAAGCACAGTTATAAATGATCATACTACTCATGGTACAAAGCATTTCATTACCAGACTTCATTTGAAAAGATGCAATGTCCCAGATCAGTCTTGCAGTATGTGCAGAAGCCAATGGTAATGAATATGAAATATTATTTGTATTAATAAAACACACAATACATATCATAAATCTGTAAGTAAGTCTTTCAAAATGCTGCCTCAACTTGCTCAATGAATGTTATTCTTGGCAATTCAGATACCACCATGTTGGAGGGAAACAGCCCAGATATGTTTAAGGTAGCTTACTCATATGTAACAAGTCAATAATGTTACAACCCATTAATGTAGTCTCTGCAGGACTAGCAATGGGAAGCAGTGAATCATTAAGGGGTAATGGGTTTAAATTTAAACAGGGCAAGTTCAGGTTAGATGTAAGGAAGAAGATCTTTACTGTGAGGGTGGTGAGGCTCTGGAACAGGTTGCCCAAAGTGGTGAATGCTCTATCCCCTGCAGTGTTCAAGGCCAGGCTGGACAGGGCTTTGATCAAGCTGGTCTAGTGTGAGGTGTTCCTGCCCATGGCAGGGGGATTGGGATTAGATCTTAAGGTCCTTTCCAACCCAGACCATTCTATGATTTTTTGATAATGATCAGCTAAGCCTGCTACTCCATAGTAAAAAAACACAACCCTGTACCCTGTATATTAATACACAGCTGTTCTCACAAGGCTGAATAAAATTCTGTAACAGTATTTACAGTTCTCCAAAGAAGCAAGAATCTACATTGAGAACTTCACATCTTTTTATTTTACTAGATTGATCAATATCACTTTGTAACATGGGAATATATAATAATGTGCCCAGACAAAATCTTTGACACCAAAATATGAATAAATACAGTTTATAAATAAAGTTTAAGCTATTATAAGTATTAACTAATTAGGAAGCATATGCTGTGAAAGCTCTTGTTAACTGCTCAATTTCAGATCCCTTCCTGTTTTAAAATCATTCAGAAATAAAATTTGTTTAAAGATCTGGACAGTGATTGTTAATATGAGATCACATTGGTCAGTGGGCAGGGCAGGGGCATGTTTACATGAAAATCATCCTTAAAGGAAGTATCTAATTCATCTTGATTTACCTTTTACAGCTTTTCAGTTTTTCACAGTTCTTTGGCAGGAGAGTTTCTGTAATATGGTATTCCTGTAAAGCCTGTAGTGGACCAGACTTTAAATAGCAGAAATGAGGCACAAAAGCCAAGCTTGCCTACCTGTCAAACTGATTGCCTAATAGACTGCAGTCATAGCAACTTCTACAGACTCATCTTTTATCATTTTACAATGCAGCACACTCTTAAAGTAGGAGCATGGGTGAAGTCCTTTTCTTCATTTATAGCTATGTTAAACACACAGTAAGGCATCTCATTTTACGGGCCATAATTTTTAAATAATATTTTTCTTGAAAAGTAGGATGACTGATCTCCAAAAAAAAATAAGGTTAAGTTTCAAAAGTGCAATAATTGATGAAGGTAAAATGTAACAATTCATAGTTTGTTGTATTAAGTATGACTTAACACACAAATATTAACAGAGATCCTGGGCATATAACAGTAACAGGCATTCTTTTCTCACTACTTATATGTTGTACCGTTCTATTTCAAAGAGACATATGACAAGCTGCTGTATCTGTGAAGAAATTGATTTTCACTGTGTCCTCTGCTGTTTAACAGTAAGTGGAAGCTATATTTTTATAATGCTTTATTGCTTCTTCTGAACAAAGCCTCCTTCTATCCATTTTGTTGCAGATACTGGCCTGCTAGTGAGAATGCATCTTACAAATAGGGACAATCTGCAGATAAATACTTCCTTGCAGTGCTTACACAGCATACTTTTGCTAACGTCAGACTTTGTGCAAGCTATTCTCTTTTAAAGGAGAGATGGCATGTTTGCAAGCCTCACATTCAAGACAGATACAAAAAGATCATTTCAGGCTCAAAGGTGCCTATAACTGCAGACATATGATCATACAAACGTCCCATATTTGCAACAGGGTAGAACAGGACTGAGAGAAGGAACTTCTAAAACTCATCTGTTGTCATGACAGAGCTTCGCAATTGGTGAAGTGCTAACCTTATTTGCAATGTTCTTAAAACAGTGTGGTATCCAAACTACACATTCTTACCATCAGTGACTTGAACATTTTCTTGGGTGTTGGCTGGCTTGTTTGTATGAACCATAGCAGAATTTCTTGCAGCAGGCATAGCAGTTGCAGCAGGAAGTACACCAGTCAGCAGTACTTCTACTCGTCTTTCTACTCTCTGCCTGGCTCGACAGCGTACAACAGCTACAGGGAAGCAAGAACCCAAGCAAACATTGTCATCTTGATTTTAACAAAAAAACCAAAATTGATTTCATCTTGATTTTAACAAAAAAACCAAAATTGAACACAGATGTTAAACGTTATATGAGAATTTCAATAAGGACCAAGACAACTGAAAGCTTAAGCCCAACACACAGTTTCTATTGTTCTGTTTAGGTGAAGTAGTGGAAAATATTGCTAAGCAAACGAAAGTCTGTTCCTACAGTTAGCTCACAATAGCACTTGCAATCCTCTTTTTTTTCTTAATCATGAAATATATCTTTGCTTTAGTTCATTTTTTTCAAATAGAAATTATGGCATAGTATGACATACAAGAAAGAAAGACTGTAAAGAAATTAAAGAATTTAAATTCAAAAGTTAAATGAAAGAATATTGTTACTCTTTGGTTTTTTAATTTAAAAGTACTGTTTTTTAAACTTCAGCTTTTATAGAACTATGACAGAATAAAAAGTATTCTGACATGAGTTTCTCTTTGAAGCATGACAGATCTTTTTTCAGTTCAGTAAGTGATTCTCAAATATTACTTTTTTCATTACAAGGTAGTTTGGTTTTTAGATTATACACCAGATTTTATAAAGCTTACTACAATAGATATAGTTTATCATTCTTTCTGTGCCAATAATTATAAGTGGCAGAGAAAGAGGTATAAAATAGATGCAAGAACTGAAAGAAAAATATATTTTCCTAAAGAAAAGTCTTCAAATTTTCTAGTTACAGAAATCAACATGAAAAAGAAGAGCTGATTACACACTTCTCAGTTTTAAGGTCTAAATATTATTTTCATCAGATTTATACCAACAATTCTTTAAAAATAAAGTCTGAGCTTACCATAAAGATTTAAGGATTAATAATTTAGAACCACATCTTGGTAAATAATCATGTAAAATGGTTTTAAAAAGAGCAATGAAACTCGTACTTTGATACCATATTTATTTATCTTCAACTTTGAGTTCTGAAGCTTGATTAACTACACTTTTTTTTTAACAGATCATTGCATACGAAGTTCAAGTAATTTTCTTTCTCTAAAAAATAAAATTAAAAAAAAAATATTCCCTTGGCCTTTTCCTGTTCAACAGGGTTTAAATTATTTTTATAGCTATCTTCTAGCTCTCTTTTAAGCATTTCCATGAGGGAGAGTTACTGAAATAGTTGATAGTTAAAAACACATCTTTTTCTTCTGAGATGCATGGCCTTGTATTTAAGAATAAATTACACTGTCTGTATTACAGCAGCTTATCAGGTATTTCAGATTACTGTGTGCACATGTTGTGTCACATCATTTTCTATTCCACAGCTCCTCTTACTATGAGAAATGATTTTACATTTTCTTTTTCTTATGTGGCTAAGTAATATTTATGGCTAAAAATCTTTACTCAAAAGTCCCTGAGCAACCTGGTGTAGTCAGACCTGGCTTTGAGCAAGGAGCTGGATTAAATGACCTCTGGTTGTTTCTTCCAACCTAAATTATTCTATCCCACTTTCAGTCTACAAGAATTGGAAAAAAAATCTGGATGATTCTCCATTGTATAAAACAGCCAAGTTGTAATCTCCTTAACATGTACTACATGGATTGTGACCACAGATCATTTTAATTGGTCTCATGAGATACTAAGCCAAGTAACTTATTGAAGTTTAAATATATTAAGATGCAAATAAGAATGATATGAAAGATGAGCTGTCTAATACCGTAGCAAGGCAGATTTTGTTTTTGACATAACAGTTTGTAGCCTTCAGGCAATTTTAAAAAATGTCTGCATTAAAAGAAATGGAAATACTATTTTGATCATTTTTAAAACAATGATTTAAAACCAAAGAAGGTTTCCCGTAAATGGCCTGCTTTGGATTCATATCTTATAACAGAGATTTTTAAAAAGTCCATTTATAACTGAAAACCATAGTCTTTCAGAATTATAGCAGGAATGGATTCTGCTTCATAGATACACTTATAAACAGGATTCCAGGTCATTTTTCAATGTAGGATCTAGTACTTCCTTATAAAAAAATAAATAAATGGCCCAATGTAACACAGTGATGACCAAAGAGAGATACATATCCAAAATTAATTGCATTAATTCAAATATTGCACAGTTTAGTTCTGCTGTTTTAAAGAAACATTTAAGAATTTAAAATTATGTAAGATTTACTTAAGTTCCTAATCATATATAAAAGTGATGTTACTTAAGCAGTTTATGAATGCTAACAGTTTTAATTAATAACTTCTACACCCACAGATTTTGTGATTCTGTAACGAAAAGAACAGCCCAATAAAAGGGAGATTTATCACAAAGTCTGCCAATGAACAACACAACAGCTTTAAATAACACAACAAACATTCACATCAATATACATAGTTTTAATGCTAATGAGACTCGTTAAAACTGTCATTATGGGCAACAGCTGATAGCATGATAATATTCTGCTTCATCCCTTAAGGTATGAAAGTAGAAATTAAAGAGATGAAAGTTCTAATTAATATTATATCATTGGCATTTGCCTGCAACCAAATGGTCCTTAAGCAAACTAAATTGATAGCGAAAATGTCTATTTCTATAGCTTTCCAGAAGTTATTCCTGTACCTTAGTCTATTTAGTGTAGAAAGGTACTATATTCACTCATCAGAAGACAAGATGAAAAGACAAGTTGGTGTAAAACTGTCCCTCATCTAAACCTTGAGCTGTAGTTTCATCAAGGTTATAGATTTAAAATACTATCCACAATTTCTATTTCACAGTTCTGGAAATATATCACACCTTTAAAAAATTGGTGTATCAAATCTATAAACAATTACTATCCCAAAAATAAGTAACAACAAAAATCCTATGAATGTCAGTTATCTTTTAATGTAAGTTAACTTCTCAGTAGCAAGTGGAAAACTTACTGCTATTCACACTAATATAGTATATTCTGGGATTTAAGGAATCAAATTCAAGGCTGAGAGAAACAGTAGATACATACTCCAATATTTTGTACCCTGTAAACTCTCCAGGAGGTTGTTCTGGGTATGCTAGAAGAAAATTTACCCTTTTGTCAGTCTTTTGTTTGATTTACCTTCACTTCTCTAACTTAGCATTAACTGGGACACTGAATGGCACAAGTCTTCAGATATTCAACTGCTCATGACTCCTTTTATCCACAATGAAAACAAAATAATAGGTTTAGCTTCGTTTTGTAGGTTGGGAAAGGAGATTTTATTTTCAGTACATGCTTTTATCTTTTTTAAGATATAGCAAAGCGCTACTGCAAATTCTCATGATCAAGCAGGTGAGAACACAAATGACTTTCATTTTCTTAAATTAATTAATTTTCTTTAATTCGAGTTTTTTGTCATTACTTACTTGGAACTAATTTTTGCTGCGGTGCTTCTGGTAATCCATGAACTGGATAGATCCAGAGTATTCCTTTAATTCCCCCATTCTCTGCTACAGTAACACTGTTTGGAAAATAATTGAGAAGTATCATTATGATAGACTGATGAGACTTTCTTCAAAAGAAATCTAGTCTTAAGAGCTATTGGAGAGTTGAGACTCCATGTTTAGCATTTCAGCATATAAGAAAAATCCAACCAAATCAGAACAGCAATTATCACTTAGTTTAGTGTCTCTGAATATTATTTGAAGGCTATGAGAACATTTGTCCTTATCTGCTATCTCTTATGTCATGTCTGCAATGAAAAAAAATTATACCGTTTTTATGCATTAAATAAAAATATCCATAGAATAACTATTATTAGTCAAATATGTTAAAAGAATTAAAGGCATCTAAGAGCTTTCATTTGCTTAATATTCATAACTGCACTGGCAGCTAGTACTTTACATTTTCTTTATTTAAAGTTAGAAAAAATATTTGATATTGAAATAGATAAAAGTGTTACCCTAAATCTGTATATCTTGCAGGATACCTTTAAAGCTTATGGTGGATAACTAGTGCCTTCAAAATTAGACACTTTATTGCTCTTGGGAGATACACACAAACAGACAAAGGGGAAAATAATAACAGGATTGAGTACCCTCAACTACTTTTCCTATTAAAATAAATTACCTCTGTAAGTCTTTATTTAATTTAGCAGAATCCTCATAAGGCCAGTTTTCACCATTTTCCCTCATTACATGAATTACCACTACCGCCTCATAAGTTTTCATTGTATCTGGCATGAATAACACTGGGATGTTCAGTTTTTGTTTTGGAGCTAATCGGATTCCTGTAAGATAGAACAGAACATTATGGTATTTCAAAAGTTTTGAAAATGATTTGCATCATTTTACTCATATATTTCCTTTTCTCCTTTTTGACTGATACACTACGTAACATTTTATCATAGCATACCATTCTCCCAGTGATAGCAGATTTCATTTTACCCTGCTCTTGCTACAGCCAAATCTCAAAATCTTTTGTATAGTAGCACTCATAAAACTTTGAAATGAAACCCAGGGAGACCCTGAAGGCTGAAAACAAAACTATCATGATTAAGTGAATGTCCCACACTTAATATTCAAGAATCATGTATAATATAAGACAATCCCATTATCTTCTAGGGCCTAAATCATGTTTTTTGAGCATCTGAGGGCTGCCATATAAGAGAGTAACACTGCATAAAAAAAGACTAATCCAAAAGTAATTGTTCATGTTGAAGACATAATTGATATACATTTGAAAGAATCTACAGTATTATACAAGCCATATCTTTTCTGTACAATTTTTCATCTGATTGAATTTGCTGTTAAAAAAAAACAACAAACAAACCTATGTTGCCTATAATGAAGGTGGTGTGATAAACTGCATTTTTAAGGGCCTTTTTCCAATGACTTGCCAGTCTGCCAAGTGTCAGAACATCTATCTCAGGGTATTACATATATTTCAGAAATAAGGTTATAGAAAAATTACACAGAATAGAGCTAGTAAACCATATGGTCTTTTTACTATGAAGCTCTTTGCTTTGAAAAGAAATCTTGACATTTGATGGAACTGACAGCTAGGGGTTAGGGTTCCAGCTTTAATTCTATAAGCAGAAAAACCTCTTAAGTTATGAATAACTACTTCTATATTAGCTTTGAATTGATTTTTGTGATAATTTGTCACTCCTGCTACAATGCATACATGTTAATACAGGTCTATGAGGATTACTCAGTGAATCTGCTCAAATTTATCTGAGACTGAATCTGCTCAAATTAGTGTGCATGGGACAAGCAGCACTCTCCCTGTAATTGCTTCCTCTGATAACCACAGGTTACTGTGTGCTCAGAAAATGTCAGCAGGGAAACTATCTTGTGAACCAAATGTTCAACTTCCTGCAGCCTAAATGTCTTGAACGAGAAGACTTCAGTGGTGAGACGTATCAGAATGGGTGATAAGGAAACTGTAGTGACATCTTGGATATAAAAAAGAGGTGGTTTTATGGAAGGTGGACGTGTAGAGAGAGTAAAATGATGACAAGAAAGGACAGAAGCAAAAGAGGTCAAGTAAGTCATAGGAGGGTGGCAGAGATGGGCTTGAAATATAGCTCTCCAAAACACAGAACAGAAGTTGGGACTCCTCATCTGCACTAACTCTCTGCTACCATTTAATTATAAAGTCTACCGGACAAAGCAAGTTCTATTGCTACCTCACAATCTCTTCTTACTGTCATTTATTCCTTCAACACAAACAGCAACCTTGAATAAAGATACCCAGAGTATCTTGAGTAGATTAACAGCATGTTTAAATTAATGAATTGCCCTGCCCATACTGATTACCTTCATGAAGAATTATCATGTACTGTGCTGTGTAGGTATCTCCTACAGTATATAACCCCACTGAAGTTGATATGCTTCAGTAGCTGTACATCTCTTCGCTAGAAACAATATTAAATTAAAATAAACTAACCAAATTAAGATTGGAAAATTAATCTTAAATTATGAAAGTTGGGATTACTTAAAGACAAACCACTCCACAGGATTTCTGCCTTTCAGTAATGATCACAGTATCACAGTATCACAGTAGGTTAGAGATTGGAAGGGACCTCAAAAGATCATCTAGTCCAATCCCCCTGCCGGAGCAGGAACACCTAGATAAGGTTACACAGGAACGTGTCCAGGCGGGTCTTGAATGTCTCCAAAGAAGGAGATTCCACAACCTCCCTGGGCAGCCTGTTCCAGTGTTCCGTCACCCTCACTGAGAAGAAGTTTCTTCTCAGGTTTAAGTGGAACCTCTTGTGCTCCAATTTGTACCCATTTCCCCTTGTCCTTTCATTGTTTGCCACTGAGAAGAGCCTGGCTCCATCCTCGTGACACTCCCCCTTTATATATTTATATACACTAATAAGGTCACCCCTCAATCTCCTCTTCTCCAAACTATAGAGACCCAGCTCCCTCAGTCTTTCCTCATAAGGGAGATGCTCCACTCCCTTAAACATGCCTAAAGACCTTAAACATAGACCCTCCCCCACATTATTAATGGGTGCTACAAACACTAGGGATTTCTTACCCAACTATATCTGGATTTCTGCATGTAAAAGTTTTATCATGTAGTACTTATGGAAATTAAGCAACTGTTTTGCTTTTATAATTGCTTAAATTTTGTGTATTTTTTTAAGACTATCATAGCATGAGCAATTTGTCTTTGAAATACTTATTTCAGAAGTCTTTTACCTCAAAATAGCTTGAAAATATCATTAAAAAGTAATTAAAAATTAAAAAATTAAAATTTAAAATAGATAAAAATTAGATTATATTTCTTTTGTTTTCTATAAATAAACATTAATCTCCCTATTTGATGTGTTCAGTACACCCAATACACATCCAATATTTAAAAGAGATGTAACATATATTCATATTTTGTGCAATATTTTGGTCAATTAAAAAAAAAAGAAACTTTAAAAATTAGCAACTAATTTTTTAATACAGTATCCAAAATAGTTAAGATGACCACACACATTATTCCCATTTGTCTGAAAATATCTCAGATAGGATCCATCTCTCTGGAACAGAAGTTAGCTCCTGCACAGGTGCATTATTTTCCTTCTGTGAGAGAAAAGGCAGCTCTCTGATGTGATCTGCCCACTTTGGGCTTCTCTAGTGTAGACAAGCAGAGGCCTTTAAGTTCTTTAAATTAGAAGTGCATTCTTCAGGATACAGTTGCAATTAATTGCCTTATACAATATTGACACAAGAACATGCATATCAAAATAGTGTAATCAACAACAGTATGCAAGCACTTTGTAACACCATCATGATAACATCTGTAAGTTTCATTTGCAACTCTTTTATCAAACGACAAATAGAACAGAATGTAAATTAATACTTATTTTTACTACATATGCACTGCATATACTGTTTGAGCTATAGCTCAGTTATGCCTACTACAGGACATAGTGCATTGGATTTTTTTAATCAATTTAAATACAGAACACATAAGATAGCATTCTGGGTCATTCTGGCAGAAAATCGGTTATTAAAGAGCATGAAAAGATAAATTTTACAATATTGCTGTTGAAACAGATGGGATTCACAATTTTAATAAATATCTTCTTAGTGGAAGCTTTTCATAACGACAGTAATTTCTGTACCACTGGGCTTGCCTGCAGCTGTCAACTAACCAACTGAACATTAACTGCTAGTACAGATTTATTTCCTTATGAATTTGCCTGGTTTATAAAACAGATGAAATAGATCTAACTGCAAAAACCACACATTGCTTCATGCTTTTCTTTTCTTCTCATTTAGAGAAAGTCAGCCAGCGCAAAAGACAGTATCTATGTGAACATCTTTAATACAAATTTGCATTACCAGCCAAGTTGCTCCTATTTGCCTGTGGATCTCAAGTAACCTGCCAGGTATACCAAGAACTGATACCAGCAGTAGAACCCCTATCTTCATGTATTTATATTGTGATGACTCAACATGAGCAGGACATGGAGCTGTTGGAGCAAGTCCAGAGTGGAACCACAAGGATGATCAGGAGTCTGGAGCACCTCCCATATGAAGATAGGCTGAGAAAGTTGGGGCTGTTCAGCCTGGAGAAGAGAAGGCTGCATGGAGATCTCATAGCAGCCTTCCAGTATCTGAAGGGGGCCTACAAGAGTGCTGAAGAGGGACTGTTCATTAGGAACTGTAAGAGATAGGACAAGCTGTAATGGGTTTAAACTTAAATAGAGGAAGTTCGGGTTGGATATAAGGAAGAAATTCTTTACTGTGAGGGTGATGAGGCACTGGAACAGGTTGCCCAAAGAAGCGGTAAGTGCTCCATCCCTGGCAGTGTTCAAGGCCAGGATGGACAGAGCCTTGGGAGACATGGTCTAGTGTGAGGAGAGCTGGAGCTAATTGATCCTAAGGGCCTTTCCAAACCTAACCATTCTATGTTTCTATAACTATCCACAAATTCTTAATAAGAAATCCACAGAAATACATAGTGAGGTTTGTGTGGGGTTGTTGTTTGTTTGTTTGGGTTGTTTGTTTGTTTGTTTTAATAGAGCTGCATCATATTTAGTAAAATGCTTTGAGCCACATTTTGTTAATAATTGACTTTCACTGTCCTAGAGGCCATTAGGAAACAGTGATAGCAGAGTAAACTCAGCTGACCCTTTAAAAAACTGAAGCCATCTGATTCAAGCCAAGGGCTGCAATTAGAGTCAGCTGTCTTACAGAGAAGAGATCTATCTCCTCCCTCATTTCTTTTTTAGGTAACCTGTTTTCAAGCCTTGCCTCAAGCCTCTCCAAAGGCTGATTAAAAGATTTCTTGGGCACTGCATCCTTTGACACTTGAGTCTAGAAATCAGAACTGCATTAGGTAATTAAATCAAAATGAGTGTATTTCAGATTCCCTGCTTCACTTCTGTAGGGCACTGCACTGTGGTCAAGTTCTATGTAATTTCTCTGTCAGCCCTAGAAAGCACATAAATGCGAGAGCTAAAATTAATTAAAGTAATGAAGCAGAGGATCCCCATCGTTGGGATGCTATTTGGAAGGAATACAGATGGGTAAAAATGCAGTTGTTGCCTCTGCAGTACCTTAGGGAAATGTTTAAAAGCAAGCATCACAGGCAGGGCCACATTGGTAAAATTGTGATGGCAATGAGCAAAGTATCTTGCAATATCTTTGAAAAGAATCATCATCCTCTCATCTAACCTTATCTTAAAGCCATGTATTTTTCATATTAGTAAGGTGCTTTGATGGCAGATTTTCTAGAGGCTGAAAGGACTATCTCCTTGATGTATTGCACTTCATT